AAAGAGGTTTTGGTGATGGGCCATAATAATCAACTACATTGTATAATGACCAAAAAAAATTAAAAAAAAAAACAAAAAAAAATGAAAGAGGTTTTGGTGATGGGCCATAATAATCAACTACATTGTATAATGACCAAAAAAAATTTAAAAAACAAACCAAAAAAAACTAATAATCAACTACATTGTATAATGACCAAAAAAAATTAAAAAAAAAAACAAAAAAAAATGCATGACCCAACTATATGCTGCCTAGAAGAAACTAACTTCAAATAAAAATAATTTAGAAAGGTCAAAAGTAAGAAAATAATGGAAAAAGATACATCATTGAAACAATAATCAAAAAAAGTAGGAGTAGCTCTATTAATATCAGATAAAGTAGACTGCATAAAAACAAAATTTGTGAAGAAAAGGGCATTAAATAATGATAAAGGTGTCAATCCACCAAATAGACATAGTAACCCCAAACATGAATGCATCGAACAACAGAGCTGTAAAATATGAAACAGAAAAACTTGTGATTATAATTAGAGACTTCAACACACCTCTCTCAACAATGGATAGAACAAGTAGACAGAAAAGGAGCAAGAATACAGAAAACTTTAAGAGCATCATCAACCAACAGGACCTAACTGACATTTATAAAACAGTCCACCCCAAAATAGCAGATTACTCTTTTCAATAGCTCATGGAACATATACCAACATAGGCCATATCTGGACATAAAAGAAACCTTGACAAATTCAAAAGAAGTGAAATCATACACAGGGTGTTCTACAATCACAATAGAATCAAAGTAGAAATTGGTCACAGAAAGAAAGATAACAGAAAACTCTTCGAAAACTTGGAAACTAAACAACACACTTCTAAATAATCCATCAGTCAAAGAGGAAGTCTTAAATGAGAGTTTAAGAAAAAAAAAAAACATTTAGCTGAATGAAAATGAAAATAAAACATATTGAAGTTTGTGGGGAAGAGCAAAACAGTACCAGGAGTGAAATTTATAGCACTAAAGGCATAAACTGAAAAAAGGAAAAGTCTCCAACCAATAATCTAAGCTCCTGTCTAAAGGACATAGAAAAGATGCATAAAATAAATTCAAAGTAAGCACAAAGAAGGAAAGACACAAGTAAAAATCAATGAAATGAAAAACAGAAAAATCAATGAAGCAAAAAGCTGTGTCTTTGAAAAGACCAATAAAGTTGACAGAGACAGAGAGAGAGAATTCATCAATATCAGGAATTAAACAGAGATTGGTATCCCTACAACCCTGCAGGCATCAAAATAACAATAGTAAACTGTGAATAGTAAGGGAATACTACGAACAACTTTACACACATAAGTTTGACAACTTAGACCAAATGGACTAAGTCTTCAAAAATCATAAACTACCACAACTCACCCTCTATGACATAGATATTTTTGACTAGCCATATAACTACTATAAGAAAATTGAGTTTGTAATTATAAAACTACCACAAAAGAAATTTCCAAGCCCCAACAGTTTTAAAGGAGAGTTCTATAAAATGTTTAAGGAAGAATGAGCACCTTTTCTGCACAATCTCTTGAAGAAGAGAGAACAGGAGGGAAGACTTCCCTATTCATTTTATGAAGGTAATACTTCCCTGACACAAAAACTAGACAAAGGCACTACGAAAAGGAAGGAAGGGAGGGAGGGAGGGAGGAGGGACGGAGGGATGGGAGGGAAAGAGGAGGGAGGAGGGAGTGAGGGAGTGAGGGAAGGAAGAAGAGGAAGAGGAAGAGGAAGAGGAAGAGAGAGAGAGAGAGAGAGAGAGAGAGAGAGAGAGAGAGAGAGGAGAAAGAACGAGAGAGAATGAGAGAGAAAAGACCAATATCCCTGATGTACAGAGGTGCAAAAATTCTTAACAAAATATTAGGAAGAGAATTCAACAATGTATAAAAATAATTACACACAATGACTAAATGGGGTTTATCCCAGGGATGTAAGCCTGGTTCAATATCAAAAATCAACCAATGTAATCCACCATATTAACAGATTAATTAAAAGAAAAAACCACATGTTCATATCAATCAAAACACAAAAAGGATTTGACAAAATACAACACTCATGATAAAAACCCTTAGAAATCTAAGAACAGAGGGGAACTGCTAACTTGATAAAGAGCATCTATAAAAAACCTACAGATAATATTACACTTAATGGTAAAAGACTCAACATTTTCTCCCTAAAACTGAGAAGCTAGAATGTCCTCTGTCCACTCTTCTTAAAAATAGCACTGCAATTTCTAGCCACTGCTATAAGGCAAGAAAAGGAAATAAAAAGCACACAGATCAGAAAAGGAGAAATAAAACTGCTCCTATTTGCAGATTACATGACTGTCAACATAAAAAATCCCAAGGAATATATTAAAAAAAAAAAAAAAGCCCTCCTAGAACTGAGTTCAGCAATGTCACAAAATACAAAATAAATGCAAAAATAATTGTACTTCTATATATTAGCAATGAATACATGGACACCAAAATTTAAAATACAATACCATTTGCAAATGCTCAAAAATGGCTTAGACATCAACACAGGTTTTCCTTTGGTTTATTCGCAGAACAGTATTGTAAATGTCAGCAAAGTGTGTTAGGATTTTAAAAATTGGCTAATACGTGGAGCCAACAAGGAAGCTCACACTATTTCGGTGAACCACAGATCTACAGTATTAGATTGTTGACTTGAATGTTTTACATCTATCCCATCTATTTCACTGCAGTTTTGAAATTAATAAACAAGCTTTCAAAAGCTACTGTCATTCAAAGCCACATTCTAATGTAAGAAAATGTAGATCTGAGATAGACTAATAAATAGTTTTCCAAATCCATATTTCCTCTTTGTAGATAAATCATCAAGTATCCTAGCTGGTGTTGTGTTCCACTGCTTTTTCAGTGTCATACAACTTTAACATAGACTTTAAGTGCCACTCTTAATGTTTTATTGTTGGTGCCAAAGCAAAATAAATGATTCTACTTACATGTCTCTCATCTAATTTATTTTTAGAAAGGTAAAGTTATAGAAATTTGATAAAAGACATTTCTTAGGAAGCAATCCACTTAAAAAAAAGAACAGCATTCATAAATTATGTTCAAATTTAAGTTCTCCATACGTTTTTAATATAAACAAAGTATTCATCTCCTTTTTATAAAAGACCCTATATCAGATTTCTTCTTTTCCTTCACTTACTTTTTGTCTAAAATTGTACTTCTGGAGAGGCCTAACCATTTTAGATAAAATCATACCTTCTCTCTATCCCTCTACTTACTCAGATCACATGGTGCCTCTAAACCTCACAAAATGTTCCCAGTTCATTCAGAGTAAAAAACCAAAGACCGTATAACAATGAATAAGACTCTACTGATCAGGCAACAAGCCCCTTCCACACCTTTACTTCTCTAACTTCAACTTCATTCTATTCTCCCTGCTTGGTCATTCTGCTCCAGCCATGCTGTCCTCTGTGTTTTATGTGAACACATGAAGCACATTCTGACTTCACAGCCTTTGCACTGGCTGGTCCTTCTACCTGGAACATATATTTCCCTTACCTTCAAGTTTTTGCTAACATGCCACCTTCTCAATCAGGCCTACACCTGGGCCAGCCTACTTAAAATGACAAAACTCTTCATCTTGAGTATCTGATTCACTCTCATTGTACTCTATTTTTCAGCACTCATCACCTTCTAAAATATGGTACCATTTACAAAGTTGTATACATGTATTTACTGGTGTTTATCTGTCATCTACCTCTCACCCAGGCAAGGGCAAGGATTTTTGTCTGTTTTGTTTAGTATTGCATCCCAAGAGCCTAAAACAACAGCTGGTACATAGTTGGTGTTCAGTAAATATTTGATGAATAAATGGAATGAATGAATAAATAAGCATATCAATTCATGTCTCATTTTAATTAATCTCAGCAACACACTGAAAAATGAATTGTTACAATGAAGATACATTTCCACAAGCCCTGATGCCTGTCTACATGCAATTCCCTTGTCTACGGTGCCCTTCTTACTCATTTCTAACATCTTTTCCCCTACTCATATATATACGTTGCCAGACAAATTCCAACTCAATATTCAAAACTAACAGGTTTTCCAAAAAAGTCATCCTTGTTCACTTAAGTGTGGGTTAAGTGCTTCTCTTATGTACTCTCCATGTACCTCTATTTACTTTTTCTCATAGCCTTGTCACAGTTGCAACGAGCATTTGCTTATCTGTTTCCCAGATAAAACCGTGAGCTCCTTGAGAGCAGAAGCCATTCTTATTTGCCTTTTCCTCACTGGCATAAAACTCACACCACATAACAGACAGGTACTCAATAGATGTTTTGTATGTTGTTAAACCGTATTTTAAAATCTGCTAAACAGAATTAATAGTGAATCACAGAAATTTACCTGTTACTTGTTTCCTTAGTTTTTCAATTTCTTCTTTTAAGTTTTTTATTTCTAAATCTTTGCTTGCTGTTAGTGGACCATCAACAGTTGAATACTGAAGAGCTTGGACAGTCTGTGTTGACTTTTTAAAAAAAAAAAAAAAAAAAAAAAGAATAGAAGAATGAAAAATATTGCCATACTCTACATTTTTTAAATTAGTGTAAAGTAATAGTGCCATGGATTGAATGTTCCCCCAAAACTCATTGAAGCTTAATGCCCACTGCGACTGTTAAGAGAGTGGTAAATGCTATTATGGTAATTGAAAGGTGAGTCTTTGAAGAGGTGATTAGATTGTCAGGACCATGCCCTTGTAAATAGAATAACCCACTGATGGTTTAATAGGAGTTAATGGGAGTTATGGGAGTAGTTCTGATGGCTCTAAAATGAATGCAGGTGAGGGGGTTAATCCCTCTCTTGCCCAGCCATTCTCGCCATGTGATACCCTGCATTACTGTATAGAGTCACCATCAAACAAGGCCCTCACCAGATGTGTTCTCTGGACTTTGTACTTCTCAGCCTTCAAAACTGAAAGCAATAAATAGTGTTTCTTTACAAATTACCCAGTTTCAGGTATTTCTGTTATAGTAATATATTTATCCATAGAGAAATCCTTATTTAATTCTTCAGACCAAAACATCTAACAATTGACATAAAGCATGTAAGCACATTAAAATTAAGTCATAAAAATCCCATTCCCCATGTCTTTAAAATTATAGTACATATGGAAGAAAGAATCTAGCTTTTTATGTGAGATTTTTTATTTTAAATACTGTTGGTGTACTCTGCCAATGAATCAACTATTCAACCCCTTTTTGTCTTAGCAGGGAGTATTACCATGTAATAAATTAAAAACATCATCTGTCATATGATGCATAAAGAAGTGAATCTGATGTTATGAAGGGAGGTTTAGATATGTTAATCTGTAATACATAGAAGTGCTAGACTTCCAAATTTTATGTATGAAAGTTAAGGCCCATATATAGTGACTTTGGTTTATCAATTTAGTTAAAATAAAAAGTATTAATTTATCTTGAAGTTCTGACCAAGGTATTAATGAAACATTAACTACACTGAGGTTTATTCCCAGATAACATCAAAAGACATGGAAAAAAGAAAACTTTAAAACCATTTTATTTAGAAACAAAAGCACCCTTTGCTCTAAAACAGCTATTTTGCTATTTATGGGATGGTTTCCCAAATAGTAACTCTCCCTTACCAGCATTTTTTGTGAGTTTGCACAAATCATTACTGACCGCTTTTTACTTCAACAAATATATGCTAATTTGAACTTAAGATATAAGATGTATATTGTGCATCTTCTACATCCAATAAGTATTTCTTACCCATTTCTTTTCGTTGGGTTCATAACATGCTACAAATTGGTCCTTTTTGTATGATTATTTTTAAAAGAACATTCAAGGAGCTGGCTGGCTCGCTCACTTGGGAAAGCATGGTTCTGGTAAAACCAAGGTCACAGGCTCAGATCCCCCTACAAGCCAGCTGCATCCCACTCCCCCAAAATAAGAACATCCATTATTTCTATTGTTTTTAAAGACATCTAAGTTGGGAGTAGAAAATGGGGAGATATAAAAAACGCCCAATGGACATTAACAGGAAATATTTTTCCTCCTATAGCCCACCTACTGCGGGGCATGGAAGTGGCAGAGGTACCCTCGCTCTTTGTTGCCACCTCTCTCCTCCCTAACACTCTTAGATCTATTGCAACTCTCATTTCCTGTTTATTGTCGTTATCCACTTGTCTTCCCTATTTTATTCTCTTCTTGAATAAGGATTTTTACACATTGTTTTCTGCGCTTCTTTCCATTACAACTCCTTTTATTACGCTTAGTGACGTTAACATCAAGAGACTGGCTTCTCAGGCACACAAATCCCTATGGCAAACACCCGTGCTTTTTACCCAACAGCTGTTCCTCTCTGTCTCTTCCTCTTTGGTTCTCCTGGTGAACCAAATCCACTGTATCAGGTTCCACTGTGCACAGGCAAGTTGAGCCCAGTCAAAATTGTGGTTGGTCTAAATTAATCATGGTAATTCAATTCTACATTGTCAGTATTGGGCAAGAATTAGGTATACTGATGTAGTTAGCACCTTGAGAAGAAGTCCACTAGGGGGGATTCTGGTAGAGGTTTTAATCTCCCATTAAATAAGAGATGCATGAAAGGAAAAGAATCTTTTTTCTTTATTTCTCTTTTGAAAGTCAAGAAAATAATACAGTAACAGTAACCCCAATATCAGCATTGAAACCATCTACCTCTGATTTCTTAAGTGGAAAAATAAATCCATATTATTTAAGAATTTTCATACTTGCAGCCCAAAACAATCTAGGTGACAAGATTTTGCTCTAGTGTAATCACAGAATTAATTGGTAATACCCTAGACAAGTGATTCTCAACTACAGGTGATATCACCACCTAATGTGAAGGGAGTGCGGGGTGGGGTGGGGAATGTTGTGATACAGTGCTAGGAGACTGCTATAGACATTTAGCTTCTGGGGACCGAGAATGCTCCACACATAGAATGTGAAACTGTCTCTGACGTGAAAGAATTACCCTGCCCCAAATGCTTGTAGTTCACCTAACTGAGAAATTCTACTAACAAACTGTCATTATCAATAACTACACAGCCTCCAAAAATCATACCTCTTATCCTTACAATTTACATACTCTAGGGATCACTTCAATAATTCCTTATTCCCACTGGGAGTGCCAATCCACTATTCCTAACACTTCCCAGTCTTTTCCCTTTGCTTTCTTACTTACCCAGATTAGATTCCTTGGTCCATCACTGCTTTGCATACACCTTCGATTTCTTTGCCCTTCTCTCATCCACTGTACTTAGCCTAGAAGGCCCCAAATCTGGCTAAATCCTACTCTGTGGTTTCATCCAATTAGCTGAAAGTGGCTGAAGAAAATCTATAGTCATTTAAAACTCATGATTACTAACCTTTAATAGCTTGGTAATGCCTGACAACCCTAAAATATTTCCCTAGTCCATTTACTCTTCTGTAAATGGACCATTACACATCTTTTCTTTTTCTTGTCAAAAATCTAATGTCTCCTCTAACTTCCTTACTCTTAGCTGATGACCATACTTTCTAGTTTATTGCCTGTCTCCTCAAAGCAAAATGTAAACATCACGAGAGCAGATACTTCTGTCTTTATCTACTCATTGTTATACCCCCAGTCACATGCAGAACAGTTTCTGGCTCACTGGTGCTCAATAAATAGCTGATAAATGAATGAATCAGCTTCAAATGTCAGTTAATGGCCATTGCTATGATACAGGTATTAATGCCAAAAGGCAACAATCTTACATTTTTGTTGAGTTTGCTTTGTGCAAATGATACCAATCACATATAACAATACTCTCTAAAAACAAACTGAAGAATTCAAAACATCAAAAACAAAAAAACCCTGGAACATAGGAATTTGCCATTTGTAATAGGATAGAGTAGAAAGCAACAGGTCATTGTTCTACAGCTCCCACTGTAAAAAGTAAAAACACACTATGTAATTCAAAAAATTCTAATTTTAAATAACATCATGGACCTCAGAAAGCAAACAGAACTAAGTAAAATAAACCAGAGAGGAAGCCATTCTGAGGTGAAAGGGCTGTTACAACGGCTTCTTACCAGGAAACCTTGTCCATTTCTGTGAATGAATTTAGGCTCCAGCACAGCCTGAACTAAGGGGTATTATGCTGGAAAGAAAAACCATCAAAGCTTCTGGACGATGTGTTGGGCTGGTACAAGCATTTGGAAATCACGCAGTCCCTAAAATTATGGTGCTCTTATCCCCATTGTATGTTCTTTAAACCTGGGGACTGCATGGGGGCCTTCTAAAAAGTCAGAATGAAATCTCCTACTAATAGAATATTTCAATGGGAAAAATGGAAGGAACAGAACATAGCATTAAGGAAATGTGGTATACAGTCTAACATATGTGCAATCGAAGTCCCAGAAGGAAAGGAGAGAGTGAATGGGGCAAAAGAAATATCTACAGAGATTATGATTTAGAATTTTCTAAAACTGAGAAAAAACAATTAAGATTGTAGAAGCTCAGTGAATCCCAAACAGGATTTTATATTAATATAATGAAAGTTACACCTAGGCACATCATAGGCACCTGTTTGAAAATTAAGTTAAGAATAAGATCTTAAAAGTAGCCAAATTAAGATTGTAGAAGCTCAGTGAATCCCAAACAGGATTTTATATTAATATAATGAAAGTTGCACCTAGGCACATCATAGGCACCTGTTTGAAAATTAAGTTAAGAATAAGATCTTAAAAGTAGCCGGAGGGGGGAAAACATACGTTACATTCAAGAGATGAAGATTAACAGCTGGCTTCTCAAGAAAAATAACAGAGGTTAGAAAAAAACAATGGAACAGCAATTGCAGAGCACTGAAAGACAAAACTGCCAAGCTAGAATTTTAACCCAACAAAAAAAATCTTTCATAAATGAAGGCAAAACTGAAGACATCATTGGACAGACAAAATCTTAGAGAATGTGTCACAACACACACAAGAAATACTAAAGGAAGTTTTTCAGGCTGAAAAAAATGATTCCAGATGGAAACATGGATTACTAGGAAGAGATAAAAACCACCAGAAGAGTAGATTTGTGGGTAATTAAAAAGGTATTTAATGGGTAATGTGTCAAGCAACAATAAAAAAATATATTGAAAGATTTATAACATAGATAAAAGTAAAATATATAATAACAATCATATAAGAAACTTGAGATCTTTATATTGTCTATTAAGTGGTAAAATAAAATTATTAAGAAAAAGACATATAAAGACCTAATAGAAAAATGGGTGAGAACCTTGAACAGAGACTTCAGAGGACTGAATATCCAAATGGATAGCAAATATATTTTAAAAGATACTTATCAGGGAAGTGCAAATTAAAATCACAGCAAGACACCATTACACACTCACCAGAAGAGATACCAGTAAAAACAAGCTGACAATGTCAAGTTCTGGGGGGGTGTTAAAGCAAGTGGAACTCATATATTATTAGTGAAACTATATATTGATACTATCACTTTGGAAAACTTGTTGACAACATCTTCTAAACCTGAAAATACTCTATCCTATGACCTAGAAATTCTACTCCTAGGTATACATCCAAGAGAAATAAGTATATATGACCGCCAAAAGAAATGTGTAAGAATATTCATAGGAGCTTTCCTCGTAATAATCAATATATAGAAATAACCCAAATGTTCACCAATAACAGATTGGATAAATAACTTTTTGGTATTTACACAAACAAAACATGAATGAATTTCAAAAACAACATGTTGAGTCAAAGAAGTCAGACAACATACTATATACCATTTATATGAAATTTAAAAACAGGTAAAAATTAATGGTGAAAGAAATTAGGATAGTGTTCACTTCAGGGTGGTAAGTTACAAACTGGGAAGGGACAGGAAGGGACTTTATGCTAAGCTGAAAACATTCTGTACACTGATATGGGTAGAGGTTACTTTAGTATACACATACACAAGTATAAACATTTATTGGGCTTACACTTAAAAGAAGAATGTATGTACACTTCACTGTATGTATATCATCATATAAAAAACAAAGAAAAAACTTGGGTCACAAAGAGGAAGTAATTCTCATGCAGAGATCTTAGCAAATTACTGAAAACAGAAAATAATCTGTTCTATTGATGTCTACAGAAGCTGGTATCTACTGGCCCTTCTAGAAGCATGATGGCAAAATTTTATGATTGTAAAACTTTGATCTTTTTCTCTCAGGAGTTAACAAGGTCTTGATTATTTACATACATTCCTTCATTCACAAAATGTATAAGTAAAATATGTTGTATGTTACATTCTTTATTTTGGAGAAAATAAAGCAGACAAGGGGGATAATGAATACTGGGGACAGATGTGAGATTAAACTGCAAATACGACGGTCAGGAAAGGCCTCATTGAAGGTACTCATTCAAGTGGAGACATGGTTCAAGTACAGAAGGGAGGAATGAGACACGTGATATCAAAGGAAGAACATTTGAGGTAGGGCAACAGCTAATGCAAAGGCCCTGAGGTGTGGATCTGCCTGGCCCGTGGAAGGAACAGCAAGGAGTCCAGGGCAGCTAGAACAGAAAGAACAAGAGGGACAACAGTAGAAGATGAAGTCAGAAAGGTAATAAGAAGCTGGATCATGGCCTTAGGCCACTGAAATCAGTTTGGCTATTAATGCGAGAGAGACAGAAAGCCACTAGGAGTGGGGATAGACACTGAAGTAAAATGATCTAAATGGTTTTTTAATAGGATTACTTAGCTGTTATGTTGATTTGTTGGTTTTTTGGGGGGGGGGATGTGGGCAGTATAGGGATCCTAACTGTTTTACGATTTCTGCCATTTTTTGTTTTTTTAACTTGGTTGTTATGTTGAAAACAAACTGTAGGAAAGTGTGGTGGAAGGGGGCTGAGGGGAGAGGCATGGCAGGGAAAATATAGGTGAGAGTCGACGGTGGTTTGAAACAGGTATTAAGTAAAAGTTATAGAAAGCCATTGTTTGGGACTAAGCTCCTTCACTAGGCCCCAACAGATCAGACCAAACTAAAACGGAGTCACTCATACTAAATTCCTCATCACCAAACCAACACTAAGTTATCTGACCTTCTGAGAAACCAGAAGAGAGAGATAACAGCCTAATTTCCCACACAGGCCAGTTTCAATAATAATGATGATGATGATGATGATGATGATGATGATGATGAAGAAGAAGAAGAAGAAGAAGAAGAGGGAGGAGGGAGGAGGGAGGAGGAGGAGGAGGAAGAGGAAGAGGAAGAGGAAGAAGAAGAAGAAGAAGAAGAAGTTCCCTCTCCTTTAAACTTTACAAAAAATGGTAACCTGAAGTAACCTAATGTTAACCAATCAATTACTTTTCTACTGCTCTGTCTCCCTGTCCTCCCCTTATAAAGAAGTAACTTTGGAATGACCAATCCACTTTGTTTCTGCTTTCTTCAGCCCTTCTCTGCCTATAAAACCAGAACTGCAAATAAAGCCAATTGAGATCTTTAAACTAAATTTGTTGTCATTTTGCCCTTTGACACAGGGTAGGAGCCCACAGTGAGTGATAATCAGATTCTGAATCTACTGTAACAGCAGAGGTGAACTGATTTGCTGATTGATCAGATCGGAGGGGGTATGAGAGAATGACAGGGATTAAGGATGACTGTAACTTCTGAGTGCCTGAAAGTATGGAATACTCTAGCTTCAAAGGTTAAAGAGCTAAGGAGAAATCAGCAAAGGAGACTAAGAAGGACTGGCTAATGAGGAAAAGAAAGCCAAGAGAGCAAAGTGCCCCAGAAGCCAAAAAAAGAAAGTTATCAGAAGGAAGAAATGGTCAATTGGGTCAAATGGTGCTCACAAGTTAAAAGATGAGGACTGAGAAATGATCACTGGATTTTGCAACATAAGGTAGAGAAAGAAACAAGCGAGGGGAAAAAATAGGATTGCTGGGCAGCATTGGAGCTGACCTGAGATTAGTGTTCATGAATTTGAAGTGCATTAGTCAGCATGCCACACAGGTGCAGAGGCAAAGCTGTATTTAATCAGGGTTCAGGTTCTGCCAAAGGAGTCTGGCAAACTTTGACTTACAGTTAGTCGTAATCATACCTTTACGTACATCCTCAAATCTACTGTTTTGAGATTTCAGGATATATGTAAAGGTAGATGTTGGGAAAATATAGGAAAATGGTCAGGGGCCCCTCAGATGAGTTCAGAATCTTGCTGAGTATTTGATGTAAATATGCACGTGCGCCCAGGTGTTCCTTGGCTATTGACTAGTGTAATCATGCATGTACACCCAGGTGTCCTGGGTTATGGACTTAAGTATAAAGGATAAGCAGCTCTGACCCACAGGGCCCCCCTGCCCCCAGGATCCCCCCGGGGGGGCTACGGGGATTGCCGTGACTGCTGCTGGAGGCTGTTGCTGCAAGCTGTTACTGCCAGCGTCCCTGAGATGCCCCGAGAGGCCACTGTCGCCACTGCTGCTGCTGCTAAGGACTGAGCTCGTGTCATCTGCCAATGGTTCCTGGGACCTTTCCCAATTACCTAGCTTGTGGACCTGCACGTGAGGGGTCTGGTGACCCAGCCTGGCATGTGAGGGGTCTGTGAGCCCGAGCCCTAGCTTCACAGTAGATTATGCTTACCATAGAATAAGAAAGGAAGGTATAAGAGGAACAGTGAAATGGTGATGGAATTGTAGGTAAATGACAGAGTTAAAAAAATATTGACGTTAAGACCCCAGAGAGAGTTCACTAGAAAATTACAAGCAGGAGATTACGGAAGATTCGCTTGAAATTGAGGTTAATAAAGGGTTTCAGATATCATAATCTCAAGATATATCTTATTATCATGGGACAGGGTGGATGAGGTATGGTGGAGAACAAGATCACTGAAGGTGAAGAATTGAGAAACTAAGTCAGAATCCTAAGGTTCACCTATGGGCATTATTACATCACTAAGTTTTATGACAGGAGCAATGTGGTAGAGAATGACAGAATGACAGGAGTTAGAACTCTCAAAAATTGAGCAAATGTCATCTGAAAAGTCACTAAAGTATTATACTAGGATGAGCATTTTTTCCTAGAGGTCCCATTTCCCCCCCCATAAGATATTTATTCCCACACATTTATACACATATGCACCCATCGGAAAGAAATGCTATCTTGTTGTTGTTTATACTGTTAATTACATGATTTTATGTAAATGATATCACTCTGTGTTCCACACAAATTTCTACAACTTGATTTTTACCACTTAATAATTTCATGAAACAACCACTTGTAATAAACAGTTCATAACACTGTGAGTCCAATTCCAAAGGGAATAATACTATCTTTAAAATATATTTACCTTGAAGTTTTCTACTAAGTTCAAGTTTTTCCTGTTCAAGGCGCTTAATTCTTCTTTCATAAGCTTCGGTTGCTAAGTTGTTATCTAGAGTCCTCTGAACATTAACATCAAGATCCAGTGAGGTGGGACCAGCTGTAACTCTTAGACAGCTCCGATCAGAAAGAACACTGAAGAAAAGGGGGAAAAAAACCATGGATTAAATAATGCAAGAAAAAGTTTGAAGAAAAAAGGTAATCTTTTGAAATTGTTCATTTACAACACGGATTTGAATACCTAGTTATAGTTAGCCACCCAGAATGATTGTAAAAAACATTTTTTTTTTCAAAATCTCCATAAACTACTTTTTAGAATATTTTTTTAAAATAGAAAACTTAAATCCCTCAAATTATCTTGAATTTAAAAAAAAAAACTCATTTACAACACGGATTTGAATACCTAGTTATAGTTAGCCACCCAGAATGATTGTAAAAAAATTTTTTTTTCAAAATCTCCATAAACTACTTTTTAGAATATTTTTTTAAAATAGAAAACTTAAATCCCTCAAATTATCTTGAATTAAAAAAAAAAAAACTTGAATTAAAAAAAAAAAAAAAAACACAAATTGTAAAATGACATTGGATGAAGGGTTAATAGCACCTTAAAAAATATGACCATATAAGTGAAATAGTTGTCAAAAGCACCAACCATGGTTCTCTTTACCAGAATTTGAAATTCAAAAGTGTGGTGCTTTCTTTAATGCAATACAATTTAATTTAAAATATCTGAGGTGCTGGACATTCAGCAGTGAACAAAACAAGCAAAAATCCTTGCCCATATTACATTCGAGTGACAGAGACAGAAATACACAAGTAGAGAGAAAACATAAAGTAGGAAAGGGAGAAATGAACTACAAAGGAGGAGGCGATAAAAAATTTAGATAAAGTGGTCAGGAAAGCTGTCACTGTCAAAGTGAGAAAAGCCGAGTAAAGGTAAAGGGACCAGTGAAGGGAATATTGGGGAAAAGAATATTCCATGCAGATGGAACAGAAGTGCAAAAGCCCTGAGAGAAGAGCACGTCTGATGTGTTCATGGGCCAGAAACGAAGCCCATGTGTAAAGAATGCAGTGAGCAAGAAGAAGAGGAGCAGGAAATAAAATCAGAGAGATAAAAAATGAGCCAGTCATAGGGGCTGGCCAGTTAGCTCAGTTGGTTAGAGTGTAGTGCTGACAACACCAAGGTGCAGGGTTCAATCCCTCTACTGGCCAGCTGCCAAAAATAAAAAGTGAGCCATTTGTGCAGGGCCTTGTAAGAACCTTGGTTTGGAGCTAAGATATGAAGAACAATGAAGCTGGGCGTGGGAGAGCTGGTCCTGAACAGGGAAGTAACATGTTCTCACATATCTTTAAAGAGGACCACTTGGACAGGCTCAGCGATTTATGAGAAACAAATTTATGAACATTGTTTCTGTAGGAGGCTAAGACAGATTTTAAGTAGACGAGAGATGAGAGGTCTCAGGGGCAGATACACTGTTAGGAGTCATCAGCAAGTATCTGGGAGAACACCAGAGAGTACACCCGGAGAAGGAAAAAAGAAGTCCAAAGACTGAGCCATAGAACACTGACATTTGGAAGTCAGGGAGATTAGGAGGAATCAGGAATCAACACTGAGAAAGAGTGGCCAGGAAGGTAAGAAGAAACTCAGTCAAGTGCCCTGGAAGGTAAGAGAAGAAAGTTTCTTAATGGCATGGAGCTATGGCAAATGACATGAGACTACGCAAGTAAGACTAAGACTGAGAAGCGATCATTAGATTTAGTAACATGGAGGTCAATGGTGACATTAATAAAAGCAGTTTGCGTGAAGTAATGAGGGCACCAGCCCGACTTGGAATGGATTCAAGAAAAATAGTGAGAAAAATGGACAAAATATAGTCAACAGCTTACAATAATTTTGCTATAATGTAGAACGGAGAAATGGTTGGCAACAGGTAAAGGAAGTTTGACCCAGAGAGAGCTTATATTTCGCTTTAAGATGAGACAAAGAACTGCATGTTTGTAAGTTGATGGAAATGATCTGATGAGGCAGATGACACAAAAAGGGAAAATTTATGATGTAAAAGCAAGCAGCGCACCAGACTAGGCAGGAGAACACCGAAGAGGTTGGCCTTAGCTAGGAGCTTGCACAGTTCATCCATGAAAAGTAGAAAGCATATGGATCCAGAAGCATACAGGTGGTAAATGTGAGGGGGCTGTTGGAAGCTGTCTGCTGTATGCTTCAACCCCCTTAGTGAAAGAGAAAGCAAGATTATCAGCTGAGAGTAAGAATGACAGAGGTTTCAGAAGCAAGTAGGAAGTATGAAATAGTTACCTACTGCGTAAAGGGTAAATACACTAGAGTAATACAGTAGAAGGGTACTTCAAAAAGTTCATGGAAAGATTTGTAGTATCGTTTAATTCTATTTTTCCAGAACTTTCTGAAGAACCCTAGTATATTTGCTAGGCAGCAATAAGGGGCACTTGACGTTGGTAATCATGAATTTAAAATAAGACTTGTAAGAACGGTCAGATATTTTTCTCTAGTCACTTTCAACTGCACAGGTACAGGCAGAGAACTGAAATTTAGTAATCAATGATGACTTAGCAAAATAAGTGTAACAGAGTAGGAGAAAGCCAAGGGAATGAAGGTGGCATGCAAGGAGTGATTATCATCATTCTCAATGGAAATTAAACTGGGTAAGGAGAAAGAAAGGAACTAAGTGGAGTGAGGGTCAGTGAAAGGAAGGTAAGATTGATGACTTGAAAGTTCTGGCGCTTGACACCGAGGAAATATATATTCAATACCTGTACTATGTATTTACTGCTGTACGGCCAAGGCGAGCATGGGACTCTTCTAATTCCTGCCCCGTTGCTAAGGGTTAGATTCTGAGCTCTCTATTTATCGACTCTTCTAATTCCTGCCCCGTTGCTAAGGGTTAGATTCTGAGCTCTCTATTTTTATTCTTTCCCCTCTAAAATGAGTTAAAATTCTTCTTTATTCTATTCTTTTTGTAATGTCTAACTTTTTCAGGCAGTAGGCTCATCCTATTTTTTTTTAAAGTTTTAATTCATAAGGCCCTCTCATAGATTACATTTTTTAAAGCCTCAATTCACTTTAATTTGCTTTAAATTGTCCAAGTGATGCTAACTTTTAAAACTTACCAGCTACTAGTATATGTAAAACCAACAAATGGCAGATGATGGCCAGAAAATGCAGTATGTGTTGGTGGGGGCATCGTTTCCTGAAGGAGGAAAAAACACCTGGTAAGAAATAGAAGACTATGACCCATAGGTTGGGCTATAAATATAACCTGTCAATAGGAAACAGGTGACTGTTCAATTTAGAAATCTGATAAGTTTGCTACAGATGTTTAGAAATATAAAATTTAGACCACAAACACCACTACCATAAAATTCTAATGAAATGAAAATAAAGATTGAAAGTTTGACATATTGATTGTACAGTCATTATTCATGTATTCTGTATTTGCAAATTTGCTTAGAAGCTATGTGTAAACCCAAAATCAATATTCATGGTGCTTCTGCGATCATTCACAGATGTATACAGAACAGAGAAAGAATCTCAGTCGCCCAGTGATCACATTCCCAGCTGAGGCTAAACAGGAGATGCTCTGATTTCTCATTTAAGCTCTCATCCTATAAACAAGTGTCCTTTACAGGGTCTACTTAGAGCCATGTTTTTCACACTTTTGAGCCTTTCGCAGGTGATTTCACTGTTTAAAAGGGTCCCCAAGTGTAGTGCTGAAGTGCTGCCTAGTGTACATACAAGAGGCTGTGATGTACCTTAAAGAGAAAATTACATGTGTTAGATAAACTTTATTCAGGCATGAGTTATAGTGCTATTGGTGGTGAGTTCAATGTTAATGAATCAACAATATCCATTACATGAAATGTTTTTAAACAGAAACACACATAAAATAAGGTTATGTATTGATCAGCTGAAAAATGTTGCGACCAAAGGCTTGCAGGAACCTAACCCTGTATTTCGCTGGGGCAGTGGCTCAATATTAGCTAACAGAGTTCATGGCAACTTTATTTTTTTTTTCCTTTTTGTCTTTTTTTTACTGACCGGTAACGGGATCGCAACCCTCGGTGTCGCGCCCGTACCGGGGACTGGCAACGGGATCGCAACCCTCGGTGTTGTGCACACACCACACTCAGCCAGTGAGCGGGAACCGGTCTCCACATGGGATTGGCAACGGGATCGCAACCCTCGGTGTTGTGCACACACCACACTCAGCCAGTGAGCGGGAACGGGTCTCCACATGGGATCCGGTCTCCACATGGGATCCGAACCCTCAGCGGGAGCGCTGCCACACTCCCAAGCGGCGCACTCTCCAGTGCACCAGCAGGCCAGCCCCCATAGCAACTTTATAAAACATTAACTCCCGTGAATAATTAGACCCACCTGTACTATGTATTTAATTTGGAATGACACAGTTTATGTTAATAGGAAACATAGTTCTAGCAATAAGAAACCAGTGAGGGAAATCTATTTCTTTCTTGAGAAGTTTAGAGAGGAAAGTATAAGAAGTTCTTTATCCAACTTGAATATGGTACTGAACAGTAGAAAGTTAATATTAAAAATTTGGTACAGGATTAAAACCACAGGAAATAAAATTGAATAAAAATGAAGGCTCAAATTAAGAAGGCTAAAAAGGCAAAAAACAAAATTTAATGTTATTTTTAAAATTTAATTTAATATAATTGAATGTTTTAGAGCAGAAGTCGACATACCATGCTGGCCTGTTTTAGTACAGCCCACAAGCTAAGAATGCTTGAATGTTTGACTAGTCCACTTGCCTGCCGCGTGCCTCAAGCAGAGCTATAACACCCAGCTAGTCAGGCTGTGGATTTGCCTTCCCCATTCATTTCCTACCAAGTTTTCTATGTCTAGCGGCAACACCACTGGGCATGGGTATTTACCCCTGCAAACTAAGTAGGCCCACTGCAGCGGCAAAGCTGATTTTTACTGTCCCAACCAAGCTTGGGGCAGGGGGTTAGGGTGAGGAAAGTGTGATTTTAACCAAAAATCAGCAGTTTTTCATGAATAAATGCTTCTTGAATTATTTCCCTTCAGTTGATATATCAAGCCCTGAAACGAGTTGTTTTTGACAATTTTGTCCAGTTTCATGGCTAGTTTTAGAGATTTGCCAACTTCTTCACTTTGCAATCATGAAATCCACTTTTCTAAGCATCTAATTTGTCCTCTTAGGAAACCTTATAGCATAATTTAGCTAAGAAGTAAATCTTTTGAATTTAAGTTTTGTTCTTAGTCATGAAAAACTGTATTCACTTCAATTAACTCTCTTTATTTATTTGTGATAGAATAAGCACTGGAAGCCATGATAACTGACATAATTGACAAGGTGATCCTAGCAGAATACTTATAAACCAAAAAATTATTTTATAACCATATTAAAAAGAAAGAGAGGAACAGAATGTCTTCATAATGTCATACTTACAGTATTTTTTAAACAATCATCATCCACATCAAAATTTGATGTATCTGTTGGGCTACTAACTTCAGGAATATAAGGTGCTTCACAGTTTCGAATATTATCCCAATCAATTCCACTGAAAAATGGATGTTTCTTAAAGTCTTCTATTCCATTTTGACCAAGTCTATGTTCTCTACTACAAATGAGCCTTCTAATAAGATCCTTAGCGTTTTCAGACACATCAGTTACATGGGCTGGAAACTGAAACCTCTCCTAAACAGAGAATAATAGAAACAAAATATAAACCAGTATTTAACTTACTAAGTAGGTTGGGTCAATTATTTATTTTCTTAAAAATATATTTTCTCTTAAAAATATCTAATAAGTGTATGCTAATACAAAGTACTGGTACTAAAGAAGATACAGGGATAATGAGAAAAGACATTTTCCTGAAAGAACTTTTAATTCCATATGTGACTTAGTCATACATGCACTATAGAAAGAATAAATTAAATACTAAAATACCTTAAAACTGCTATCAGAATGAAGAGGAATTGATAAAAAGTAGTGGAATTTGACTCAATATTTCAATGGATTGTAAATAACTGGTAATGTTTCTATAAATCACATACTAATGATTAACTGATAATAAAAAACATTTTAAAAGAATTTAATAAGTATCTGATACTATTTAAAATGATTTACTCATTGAACTCATTTAATCCTCACAACAGTCATCTTATGTGGGTATTACTGTTATGCTAATTTTATAGAAGAGGAAACAAGGCACAGAGAGTTCAAGTAATGTTTTCGACATCACAAAACTAATAAATGGCAGAACTGAAATTTGAACTAAAGCCGTCTGTATCTGGAATCTGCACTGTTAAGTACAGTACCATGTTATATACACCACAATGCTTTCTTTCTGAAATGCCATACATGCTATTCATAACCTTGTAGCTATTTCCAGTCTTTCAACTTTTCATAATTATTTACAGCACTATCTTTGCAGCAAGATAGAAGAGCATAAACTTTACAAAACTGATTTATATATGATGAGGTCTTCAAAAACCTCACGGAAAGATTCGTATTATCTTTTAATTTTATTTTTCCATGATTTTTTTGAAGTACCCTGCATATGTAAGGCAACTAATCATAATTGCATCACCAGAACAAATTAAAAAGAATAGGTTATCATTCCCCTTTATGGGATATCCCTATTCATATTCTAAGTTTTTGCAATTGCTCACAATCTTCTGAGACTGATCAAACAAAACCTTTCCTCTTCTTTTAATGAACAATCCATTTCTATCTCACTTAGTACTAAATGGATTAGAGTTTTATTAATTCATTCCTGTTGGACATCTCAATTTTCCAATGTTTTGTGATGACAGATAATATTGGGATCAGTATCCTTCTACATACATCTTTTGTTCTACTAAATATTTCCATAGGGTAGATTCCTAGAACTAAAGTTGCTCAATCAAAAGTTCTAACTCTTTTTTAAGGCTCTAGTTACATACTCGTAAACTTCTTCACAGAAAGATTACATCAATATTCCTATAAATAATGTCTTAAAATGCCCATCTCAATGCATTATTATAGTACACAGTACATTCTTCCGATTTTTGCCAATTTTACAGGAAAAAAACTATCTCGTTCTTAATTTGCATTTTATTTATTACTACTAAGGCTGAGAATTTTTTTTATATGCATTCTAGTTATCATTGCACATATACTATAGTAAGTAATAAATTGCTTATGGCCTTTGTTATTCTACTGAAGAAACCAATTTCCTACTTTTTAGCATCTCTAATAAAATACAAGAGAAAATGAGAAATAAAAATTTTAAATATAATTTATGGATTTTGATTATTCATTTTTGTTGTATCCCCTATTAGCACGGAAATGTGGTCGTTCATTGTTTTTAGAAAAATATTTTTTCTTTAAATGCCATATTGTTTTAATTGATTATATGTGTTATTTACCAGGTTAATTTTTTAAAAAGTAAATATACTAACTTTGTGATTCATGATTTTTCCATATGTCTCCACCAGAGATTCTGCATAAAATGGTGTTTCTCCATAAAGCATTTCATACATACAGACCCCCAAAGACCACCAGTCACACTCAGGTCCATATCTGCCTTTTCCATCTTCCATGGCTTGAAGGATTTCAGGAGAGATATAATCTGGGGTTCCAACAGCCACAGAGGATTGGACCTGAAGAAGTTCACATTTTAATTAATTTACTGTAATATGGTGAAAACAGATAATAATTTTAAATTAAAAAGTTACACTTACAAAAGATATGCCATAGACATTATTATCTCACAATAATTACATCTTTTTCATTATCTGAATTTTGATTCCTTATATACACACACACACACACACACACACACATTTTAAATTAAAAAGTTACACTTACAAAAGATATGCCATAGACATTATTATCTCACAATAACTACATCTTTTTCATTATCTGAATTTTGATTCCTTATATACACACACACACACACACACACACACACACACACACACATATGTTAAATTTCATAACACTGTAGACCTTTATTATAGCTGTTAATTAACTGACTACATTTAGGGGAACAATATGACTTGAACCATCACAGCCATTAACAACAAACTGAATATTTGGCTTAGAACATTCTTATTATTGATATTTACCTGTCCAAACTGTACATACAAAAAAAATGGAACTGTGGGAAATTTTAGTTAGATAAGAGGAAAAACACTCCACAAAGTTTAACATTCTCAAGGTAGAATAATGTTTAATATTCTGGATTTTCTACACTGAATTACCATTCCTAATAATTAGGATAAACATCACTTTGGCAATACTGAGATTAAGATTTAACATAAAGAAGGAAACAAAAGGGAAAACCTGAACTTACGTGAGGTGGAGAGTTTTAAGAGAAACGCTGCCCTACGTACCCCTCGCCCTAACGCATATATTGTAAATGAAATGGTGAATTATAAAAATCAGCCACACAGCAGAGAAAGACAAGAAGACATTTTATCTATCTTGACTTGTGGCTGATATATAAACAAAATTCCTCCTGTAGAAATTCATATCTTTAGGTCACACAGTCCCAACATTTGGGATTCTAATGCACACTGCTTCTATGACCCAGAAGTTCTCAAGCCAAGAAACTGGCATAAATATTAACCACAGATTAGTTGCCCCTAGTAAGCAAAACAAATTCAATACTACTCTGGAGGACGCATGCTCAAATTTGGCCAGATACAATTCTCTCACATAAAATCTCATTTAGTATGCACTCACAATCCAATAATATAAACTAAATGAGAAAATGGTCCATTACCATTGAGAAATCCCAACAAATGGTACAATTAGATCCCTGATAACTACCAGATTCACTCTATGAAATAAGTATGCTTAAAATTATTTTAAAAATTAAAAATTAAAATACAAGAAAAGAAAAAGGCAAATGAAAAAAATCAAACAGAAGTCCTAAAAATGAAAACAGTCATTGAAAATTTTTTAAAAAGCAGTGAATGGGTAAAATAGTAGACCAGATACAGTTGAAGAGACTAACAAACCTGAAGAAGAGCTGAAGAAATTAATCAGCATCCAGTAAGATGAGATTAAAAGTTGAAAAATATGGAAGAAAGACCAAAAGATAAAGACACTATAATGAGCAGGTTCAACACAGAATAACACAAGAGAATGAGAGAAAAGAGAATCATAGAAAGCAATATTCAAACATGCAGAGCTTAAAATTTTTTAAGAATGATGTAAGACTTGAATCCTTGAACGCAGGAAGTGTATTAAGTCCTGAGAGAGAAATAAAACCAGATCTACTTTCATACACATGGCAGTTAAACTACAGAAACATTGAAGAATAAAACATTGAAAGAAACATTAAAGAATAATGTTAGAAACACTGAAGAATAAAGAGATAATCTACCATGGAATGACAGACTGACAGATGAATTATTAATACTAACAAACACTGAAGAATAAAGAGATAATCTACCATGGAATGACAGACTGACAGATAGCAGTCAGAAAAAAACAGAATTATACCTTCAAAGTGATGAGAAAAAATAATTGTTAATATAATATTCCCTACCTACTTAAGTTAATATACAGGAATGAGTGTTAAAAACATTTTCACACAAAGACTTATAGCTTTCGGTTAAACAGAAGCACTAAAGACTATAGGTCAAAAAAAAAAGTTAATAGACAGAAAAATGCGACACCAGAAGCAATAGTGAATGAAGACATTAGAAAAGTTTAACATACGTCTAAACAACATCATGATAAAGGAGGAGGAAGAGGAGGAGGAAGAGGAAAAGCAGGAGAAACAGGAAGAAGGGAAACAACTACTTTAGGGTTGAAAAATAAGTAAACCATAACATACACAACTATAATTTGTCAATTTACAGTTAAAAAAATATTTTTTTAAAAACCACCTATTCTATGTCCCTTAAAAAAAAAAGTTGGAACCAAAATACGAGGGAAAAAATAACATGTTACTCAGGGGGTAATTAGGATTAAAGTGTTCTAAATTTCTTGAGTTTCTTATTTTTAATTGTGGTAAAATACACGTAACACAAATTTACCACCTTAACTATTTTTAAGTGCACAGTTCAGTGGCATAAGTACATTCACACTATTGTGCAACCATCACCACCATCCATCTTTAGAACTTTTTCATCTTGTAAAATTTAAACTCTGTACCCATTAAACAATTATTTCCCCCATTTCCTTTTCTCCTAGTGCCTGACAACAACCACTGTACTTCCAGTCTTTTTGAATTCGACTACCCTAGATATCTCATATAAGTGAAATCATATGATATTTGTCCTTTTGTGACTGGCTTATTTCACTTAGGATAATGTTGTAAAGGTTCATCCATGTTGTAACATATGTCAGAATTTCCTATGTTTTTTAAGCTGATTGACATTCCATTGTATGTATACGCCACATATTTCACTTAGGATAATGTTGTAAAGGTTCATCCATGTTGTAACATATGTCAGAATTTCCTACGTTTTTTAAGCTGATTGACATTCCATTGTATGTATACGCCACATTTTTTTTTATCCATTAATCTGTCAATGGACCCTTGGGTTGCTTCCAATTTTTGCCAATTGTAAATAATGCTGCTACAAACATGGGTGTACAGTTCCAGTCCCTACTTTTACTTCTTTTGGTTATAAACCCAAAAGAATTGCTGGGTCACATGGTAATTCTACTCTTAATTTTTTGAAGAACTAACCATACTGTTTTTCACGGCAACATACACTATTTTATACTCCCACCAACAGTGCCCAAGGGTTCCAATTTCTTCACATCCTCGACACACTTATTTTCTATATTGTCTTTTTTTTTTTTTGACAGTTGCCATCCTAGTGGATGCAAAGTGGTTTCTCATTATAGTTTTTCCCTAATGATTAGTGATGTTGAGCATCTCATCACGTGCTTATTGGTCATTTATATATCTGCTTTGGAAAAATATCTACTCAAGTCCCTTATCCATTTTTCGGTGGTGTTGGTTGTTCTTTATTGTTGAATTGTAGGAGCTCTTTATATATTTTTTATATTATTCTGTTATCAGACATATGATTTGCAAATATTTTCTGCCATTCTATATGTTGCCTTTTCACTCCAGTAGATAACTGGACTATATCTCCACTAAAAACTTCTGTGCACCCAAATGTTGACTGTCATTTGGCACACAGAAGTTTTTAATGGAGATATAGTTCAATTTATCTATTTTTTTATTTTGTTGCCTGTGATCTTGTGTCATACCCAAGAAGTCATTGCCAAATCCAATATCATAAAGCTTTCCCCTTATATTTTCTAAGAGTTTTATAGTTTTAGTTCTTGCATTTAGATCTTGGATCCATTTTTAGTTATTTTTGTATAAGGTGTAAGGTAAGCTAAGTTTCTTGTTTTGACAGGGCATGTGGTGGAAAAACTGATTAACTCTAGACTTCAGGTAAACCATAAAGGTTAAAAATTTTTTTAAGAGAAACAGTAAATATTTGAAATAGAATGTCTAACTTCCAAAGAAGTAAAGAAAAAAGAGAGAAATAAAACTAAACTTGATCAAGCCAATAGAAGGCAAGAAAGAAGAAAAAGCAAGCATGCATACAACCAACCAACCAAAACCTACAGTAAACAGCACAAGATAAGATACTAAAAATGAGCACAAAAAATGATAAGATTCATAAATGAATAAATATCTGTTAAAAGACAGAGTTGTCACACTGGAAAAGAAACAAAACCAAAAAGAACAAATAGAAAAAAAAATAATCTGTGTAAAGGGGATGCACCTAAAACATGAGGACACAGAAAAGCTGAAAGTAAAGGAATGGAAAAGATATATCAGACACATATTAAACAAAAGAAACTTAAGGTAGCTATAGCAATATCAGTTAAAATAGATTCTAAGGCCAAAATAATTAAGATTTTTTAAAATATTCATTAACATAATTATAACAGAAAACACCCTGGAAGAAATAGCAATTCTGAATAACACATAACAACATAAGTACAAAAGAACTGTGAGAAACATCGATGATTACAAGGAAAAATTAGTAAGTCCACCATCATAATAAGGATTTTAAAATAATGGATAATAGATCAGACAAATAAAACTGGTAAAAATATAAAAAATTTTAATGACAAAATTATCAAATTTAATCTCATGACCATCTACAGAAACGCACACACAAAAGAGAAAATGTACTCTTTTCAAACAAACAGGAAACACACAAAAATTGGCCTGTTACAAGATCACAAAGCAAATTTCAACAAATGCTAAAAAACTGGTATCAAATAGAGCCATTTTTTAGTAAAATAAAACTAGATATAAGTGACTGAGGGTTGCGATCCGTTGCCGGACACGGAAAAAGACAAAAGACAAAAAAAAAAAAACTAGATATAAGTACCATTTTTTAGTAAAATAAAACTAGATATAAGTGAGCAAGTAAATAAATTAATATAATACTATGATATTAAAAGGCACACCTCAAAATAATAATTAATGGTCTACTGAAGAACTCTAACTGAAGATGGAAAATATTTAGAATTGAACTAAGGTAAAATGCTCTGTATCAAAATGAAAACAGAAGCACAAATAACATTAGGAATGAAAAAGGGGGCAAAACTACACAAGTAAAAGATTTTAAAACTAGGAAGAAGGCAGTCTGAACAATGTTAT